AACCTGAAAATATTCTACCTACAATAATTAGAAAACTTAAGGTTACTTTATCTGTAGGATTACGGAACTGATTTGGGTGTTTTTGTTTTGTTTTCATGGGTATTCAACCAGTGAATGTAGTCAGTTTCACTGTTCCCCTCTACAGTCAGTTCATATCTCAATGAAAAACCCTTCTATATTTCAAGGAGATCAAAAAAATCTTTATTCTTTTTGAAGAAATTTAAGGTCTGAATCTGATACACAGAAAACAGCGCACAAGAGGGAGCACTTGCATGTAACCATGTACACTGTCACAATCCCGAGTGCACTTACTGAAGTGCACCACTAGTAGAAACACATGCTGCCATCTGTGGGTATTGTGGATACTCTGCTAATGAGCTGGGTAGCTGCCCAAGCACTAGGCTTACAGGGAACTAGGAATGTTAAATAGTGGTTAATTGAATAGTCGATTAACCTCATGAATTCCTATTGGTTATTCAACTATTCTATAGTCCCCAGGGATGGGGCAGATGGGAGTGGGGCTGGAGCACACTGGCTAAGGAGCTCCCTGCCACTCCACGCTGCTGCCTCTGCATTAAATTTAAAAACCTGCTCGGTTCGCAGACTGGCTGCCTGACCCTCCTCACTGCTGGCTCTGAAATGGAGGAAGCAATGTAGGGTGGCAGCAGCTACTGTCTGGGGGAGGGGGGGCTGAGCTCCTGGACCCAGTACAAGCTGGAGCTGAGTCAGGCTGCCTACCTGCCTCCTAATACACTTTAAATATAGAGCCACAGAAGGGGTAGGTCCTGGACTCGGCATGAGCCAGGACCTAGGCCACTGGCCCGGAGGGGGAGGAGGGAGGGAGGGAGGAGAGAGAGAATGCATTTAGTCTGTAGCATCAACCTCTAAGCTTCTGCAACTACACTATTGCATCCCTACAGGGAACACTGTATAACATCTACAATTACAATAAATTGTTTCTCTAAAAGATGCACTTGCCCAGGATAACAAGCATGCCTGTAGTTGTATAGATGCCCAGGAAAAGAGAAAGTTATTGCTACTTTCCCCAGAAAGGAATGGGAAGCCAAGGAATAAGTATGTACAATTAGAGAGGCAGACAAATCCACACAAGAGTAGCTGAGAGCATCTTTGCTCCCAGTCTGACTCCTAACTTATTCCCAGTCTTACCATTTCTCCTGACATTAGGAGCAACTCTTCAAAATGCTACTAGGTATATAATTGACAATCTTCTCCATATTTGAGCATGGGCCTGCAGAGGACTTGTAGTAAATACTATAGGCCAATTGAGAGGATTTAGCTTCTTCTCTAAGGTGAACACTGTGAAGAAGAATCCTAGTTCAACGATTGGCAGGCAATTATCACCATTTAGAATGGTGAAGAGAAGCCAGAAAACAAATGCATGAAATTGATATACCCTGCATGAAGCTAATTGAAGAATGGCTTTAGGAAGGCTATTTCAGGGGTGTGGCTGACAAAATATTTCAAAGAGGCTAGTAGGTGAAGTCTTCAGGCAACTAGGTATCCATGAATTCTGCAAATCCTGACTGACCCATCCTTAGATAGAAATTGAATGGCCATGAAAGGTGCAAAAAGTATTAGTTTTAAATTGTATTTGGTAACTAGCAGGGGGCTTAGGGGAAGGAGGGGGAGGTGGTCAGGGCAGGATGGGGAGCAAGATTCAGGGTGAGGCTCAGACCAGGGAGCTCAGGGCGGAGGCTGGATTATCAGGTCTCAGGGTTTGGGGTGCAGGATTCAGGGTGGCGGGGATAGTCAGACCAGGAGGCTTATGGCCAGGGCTAGGAAGGAGGCCTACCAGAGACTCCTGTGGTAGCAAAAATGCCACTGCTCTGATGGTGGCTCCTGGGATGTGGGGAAGCTGCCCCCCCACCCACCAGTGGTTCCTCAGGAGGGGAGGGAAGGGGAGGGCTGGGCTGGGCTGCTCTTCCCCAGCTTGTTGGGGGAGGAGGAGGGGAGGGAGGAAGAGGGGGAGAGAAAGCCCCAGCTGGTCACTCTCTTCCTGGTGTGGCCACTTCCCTGTGGGCACTCTGCAGTATAACTGTCCCTACTATCAGTTCCCTCCCTTTCCATGTGATGGAAAACAGATTCCAGCCACAACCAAACCCTGACCTTGTTTTAAGTTAGGATAAGAGGTGCGTAACCCACACACCTTCTGAGTGTGGTGTATGGTCCTACGTAGTGGCACACTCAGGCCACTTATAGACAGAAAAATGGAGGTGTTCTATGGCCTTAGCTGAAAGCCAGCTGGCTTTTATCTCAAGCTGTCATGGCTCATGCAGTAAGCTCCAGATGTCCCAGGTTCAGTTCCACCTTTCAGCATTACAGCTGCATATCAAATTTAGTGATGCTAGCTCTTAGCATTAGGAGTTCTTGAACAAAAAGAACTCTCAAACTAAATTTTATCTCAGAGAATGTTTTGGAATCTTGCCATATCTCAGGAGCAAAGCAAAAATGCTTAATGATAGGAATTCCAACATATTCACTGTAAAGAGCATTTGTTTCCAGTCCCAGTGGTTGGACTAACAGTGAGATAAGACTTAAAAGACTGTCACTGGTATCAAATCCCTATGACTACTGAATGTTTTACATTGGGCCATCACTATTGCAGAAGCATAAGGTTATTAAAGTAGTAATTACAATGCATGTTAATTCCTTACCAACTGTCAACTGTCCCCACCTGGTCCCTAAGGAGAATGACTAATTCACCTCACACTTACTTAGTGAGTGGCTAGCCCAACTCAGATGTTATTTTGCAATCTTACTAGAAAAGCAAACCCCACATTATTGTGATGTTTTCTTCATTACCCAGGAAAAATTCTAGCTTTTGCTTTGGCGGTAAAAAGTTGTCAAGAACAAAACAATCAGCTTTTTTTCCCAGTTTGTAAAAGGCGGCTACCTACACTACATGGGTAATGTTTCCGAGTGTCCACTTCAAATTTTCTCACTTTTATTATATGAAATCTAAACCATGAATCCTCCCCATGAATATCAAGCCCCTGCCCTATTAGCAATGATGCCCTTTGGTCCAAAAGGTAGTTTCCAGAAGGTTAGAGAATTGGGAATTAATAGACAGTTTATCACCTAGAAAATTATATACATCTCAGGAACGGACCTTACAACTTTTGATTTCAGAGGGGACAACATGGTGTTTGTATGAATGGATACTCAGAACCAGTGCTGGCCAAGATGTGGCCCGGAGCCAATTGAGCCCACCTAACATTTTGACCCAGCCCACAGACTGTGTGTGGATGCTTTCTATTTATATTCTGCTGCCTGTGCTACCGAATTTCCAGGCAGAGGCTCACGCGGCAGGATCCTATTTAAAATGGATCACGGCTATGGTGCTACCCCAGCAGGGACTGGAGCAGTGAGCCCTTTAAATAGCCACAGCAAGCCTGGGCAGCTGTCAGGCAATGTGGTAACAGCAGGGCTGGGAACTGTGAGCCCTTTGCAGTGATTTTAATTTAAAGTCTCTGGCCCCAGACAACTCTGGGGAAAAGGTAGTCCCGAGCTCTGTCCCTTCTGCCCCAATCTCTACCCTTGGGGTGAAGCCGGCCTGTGATCACATACCAAAATTCATTAAGTGCCCCCCCCCCCCAGCGAAAATTATTGACCATCCCTGCTCTGGACCAAGCATGAGAGTTAGTGTACTTACTCTGATAGTGACATCAGCTTAGTCATATTCTGCATTTGCTAACAGTCTAGCTAAATGATGAACAAGGCTTCTGTGAAACAATGAGAATTAATGAGGTCTGCAGCACCAATCTGATCTTGAATGGGCCAACAGCTCATTTCAGGAGCATTCTGTTTACTTTTCAGTGGCCTACTCACTACCAACCTGAACTGCATTTATATCAGAAACAGCAAAAGGTTGCATATTCCATTAGCAATGCATTAGTTTTTCCTAAAACTGAATTTAAGAAATACTTTAAAGCCTTGTACTATAAATATGAAATTTTCTAACAAGTTTTATTTACTGTTATGTATTTGTTCCAGTTCCAGGTTAAGCTGCTATGAATAACTGTTTAATTTGGGTTGCTTCAAAAAGATAATAGTGTGCAGAATCTGAAATCTAAACAAACATCAGTAAAGTATATTTTAAAGTTATATTCCTCTCTAAATGCAGAATTCTGATTCCATGTAGCAAATTATTCATCTGAATGTGCAGATTAAGAATGTGTGAAACATGAAAAAAATCTCTCTCTGTGCAACCCATTTATCAACAAATACCAATGAAACCACAGAAGACAGTTACTATAAGTGAAATAGAGAGTTAAACCATAAAGTTAATAACTCATTCTACAGCAGCTGCATTACAAACTGGCACTGCTGGAATTATCTTTTTCAGGATACCAACCAAATCTCTTTGCATCAAGCTTCTATTTTGCAGTAAGCAATTTTTATTAAATTAAAATTATAATTGTGTGTGAAAAAAACAAAGGCATAATTTGACTATTTTATTGGGCAAAGTATTAGCCACTAACCCACTGGTTGGTGGACTGATCACAAAACACACTCAATAGATTTTATTTTGCCAAAACTATTCAGTGGGCAAGTTACTCTGGTAATGTCTCTCTTAGGCATTACCTTAGTTGCCAACCTTAATTAGGTTACATAAAAAAGTCTAGTTCTTTTGAACATTTTCTTCTGTCCCCATTCACCGTATGGTCTTACCTCACTTCAAAACTACCACGTAAAGTCATGCCCAAAGTTTCTAGCGCTGTCAGTAGCTCTACAAGAGGTCTGTGAGGCAGGGAGGTTTTGCTTAGGAGGCAGTTTTATAAGTTCATACACACCGCCCGGCCAACCCCTGCGCCTGTCCTGCTCGTTCTTCTGCCCTGTCACACCCCCACGAAGCTGCTCCCCTTGTCTGGCCCCCTCAGCTCCTCCAGCTCCCCATCCCCTCCTCCGAGCCCTCCCCCTTCGTACCGCGCCCATCCCCAGGGTATCCGGCCCCCTCCCCAGCCCGCCCCGGCGCTCACCGCGATGATGACGGTGTCCTCTCCCTGGAACTTGGTGATGTCTTTGTCGCCGCGGTTCCGCTCGGAGTCGTTGAGGGGCCTGAAGCGACACATCACTTTGATGTTACATTCCGCCGGGTCCGCCATCTTAGGCCAACGCCGCCGCCTCCGGGGCGCTTAGCCCGGCCGCCGCTGCCTCCGCGCCGCTCACTCCGGGGTCCTGCGAGCGGCCGCCGCCGGCAGAGCAGCGCCTCGCTGAGCAAAGGGCAGAGGGGAAGGGCTCCTGCCTGGCCGCCGCTGCCGCCTACTGTTCTCACTTCCTCCCCAATATGGCAGCCATGGCGGCGCCTGCAGCCGGCGAGTCCAGGCCCTGCCCTCCCCTGGCAGAAGCAGCCTCGACAGCAAGGCAGAGAGGGGGTGACGTCACTCTCCGCAGAGAACACCTACCCCTCCCCGCCTCAAATTTACCACGCAGGCGCGCATCGAGGACAGCGCCGCGGCAGCAACCGAAGAGCTGCATTGCGCAGGCGCTCACTGTGTAGGGCGGGAGGAGATGAAAACATGGTCACTGCCGTATGCAAAAATCTCCTGCGCAGGCGCACAAGTTGTCTTTGGGCGCCGCTGTAGCGCAGACGCAGTCATTGGGTGAAGGAGGCCGACGGGGGGAGGCATGTGGAGGGCATGATCGGAAGTCGCAGCAGCAGCGGGGGGCGCCCTTCCTTCAGGGGCAGGGAGTTGGGGAGCAAGCGACAGGGAGGTGCTGCTAGCGGAGCATTCACAAGGCGCTGAGCCTATCAGGGCTACCCTCTCTGTAGCTGAGTCGACCCTCAAAGGCTTCCCCCAGCAGGCACCCTCCTTTCAAAATACACCCCAGGGCTCTGTTTTGTGTCATTGTTTTTAGCATCACAAAATGACATTAAGCCATGGCTTTCAGAGATCACAGATCCACCCAGCTATGCCTCTGCCATCTAAATGAAACCTTGGGCATTGGTGTCACATGAAGAGTCCCTGTGGTTTTCTATCAGTTCAAAATAATTTTCCTCTGAAATTGTGATCGGAAGCCTTAAGTTATGTGGCTTCTGGACAAATTAAATTAATAAACAGCAGGTTTAAAACAAACAAAAGGAAGTTTTTCTTCATGCAGTTCACAGTCAACCTGGGGAACTCCTTGCCAGAGGAAGTGGTGAAGACTAAGACTTTAACAGTGCAGCAGGCACACAAGAATTCTTGGAGCATCTGAACTCGCACAGTTTGGTGGCAGGCATGATAAGGGGCCTACCAGGGCACCATCTTGAAGGCGGGAAGGAGAACAGGGTTCATTCATGGCAGTGGGGCAGGGCAGCAGTTCATGCCAATTCCCTCCTTTTTGTCTGGCTCAACCTGCTTGCCAGAAGAGTATTATTTTTCGCCTTCCTGCAAGAGCCCGCAGGCGGGAGGACTAGAGGAGGGGCCGAAGCCTCCTCAAGAGCTGCAGCCGTGCTTCACCGGGGATGGGCAAATGGAGGTTAGTAGCAAAAGCAGCAGCTAATAGCTTCTCCTCCTTCATCCAGGTTGCCATGTGAGATATCAGTCTTCTCTGAATTACACACAGAGATAAGGAGCTGATGCTGACTAAATGCGGTCAACAACCTAGTTCTTACGCTGCAATGCTTTGTGCTGCAATGCCACCGGACCACTTTCTGGTTGTGTGGCATAGGAACGTGCCCTACCATGAAGTATGGAATAAGGCTGGCCTCCCCAGAAACTTTGTGAGACGGATTAAAGACTTAACTGTACAAGAGTTTTCTGGAGCTGTGCAGGGGAGATTCCCACTCCATCTCCGGACATGTTAAGAATCTGTTCCAGGTTCACCCCACTGTGTAGGCACAGAGCACAGCCAATTGCTTTAATCTGCTGGTAGCAAATAAAAAATGTGAACTCATCGGAAAGGTCCTCCTTTACATCAGTGCCTGACTGTGAGATGTCCCGGGAGGAAGGGATTATCTCTAAGGTTATAAAAAGTTCTTGGTTCTTGGTCACATCAACTACCCACTTGCTTGCTGACCATTCTTCTCCTCCTTGCTGTCTTCCACACTGCTACCCTGATGAGTGTCTTGGGAGGATTCCATGGTCTGGTTTGGGATGCTGATTGGGTCTCCACCAGTGTCAAATACAGCTGCTTGTAGAAGCGACATGTTTGCAGCGATGCCCCAGACCATTCGTTTTCCTCCTTTGTCTTGTGCTCAGCTTCTTTATTTTCACACAGCACTGCTGGGCATCCCTGGTGTATCTTTTCTCCACCATGGAGTTGCATACTTCGCATAGATATCTGTGCTACATATGCTGGTTCAGAGCTTCACGAGAATGGATTCCTCTCCCCATGCATCTCTGAAGTCCAAGATCTCCTTCATGCTCCATGCTGGTACTCATCTGCACAAATGAGAATTGAAGCTCATGAAACTTGAACTCATGGAACTCATGCCCAAGTATGCTGCCTGCTCTGAGATCTGCTTGCCATGCTGTCCACACAGGAAATTAAATTCAGAGTTTCCCAGGGATTTTTCTGTTCACCTGAAGAGTGATAGAGTCACAAGCCCTGACCAGAGCCATTACAGTGGGGTACTGTGGGATGCCTCCAAGAGGCCAAGAACATCTACTTTTACAATGCTGGGACTACACTACAGTAAAGTTGACCATGCAAGGTTGAATTTAGAATTACTCTTCATGAAAAGCAGGAGTACCAAAATTGACTTTAGTAACTCTTAAAGTTGAAGAAACGGGCTTGGCAGTGTGGACTCATTGTTTAGAAAATTTCCTTATGCAACTAAATTCCACCTAAACTCCTAGGCTACGTCTACATTGCTGACTTGCCGGCAGTGCCTATACAAATGAAGCATGAATTAGCATATCACCGTGCTTCATTTGCATAATTTATTTAAGCCTTTTTTGCACAAAACCCCTTTTTGCGCAAGATTCTTATACTTCTCCTAGAATGGCATAAGGATCTTGCTCAAAACAGGGTTTTTGCAAAAAAAAACCCTGTCCACACTGCTTGTTTTTGTGCAAAAACCCTTTGCACAAAAAGGGTTGAACAAATTATGCAAATGAGGCACGGAGATATGCTAATCTGCGCTTTATTTGCATAGGCACAGCCAGCAAAGCCAGCAGTATAGACAAAGCCCTAGTGTAGACCAGTCCTCAGGAAATGAAGACAGAGTTGTGTGTGAAACAGGTTGTGACTGCCAGATGTGAGAGTAGAGTACAGATCTGGGGGAGCAGCAGAAACTGGTTAGGGCGCCAGTACTGAGGGACCCAATGAGAGGCATTAACTGAACCTTGCCTGCAAACCTGGAAGTTCCTATTTGCTTGAATGAAATCTGGAGTGGAGCAGGGCTAAAGAGCCTTGACTTCTTCAAGTGGACCGCCCCAGTGACCCAACCAAAAACTGTTGTTCATTTTGAATGGTAACTGTTCAAGCCTCTGTAGCTAGGGTATTTGCAAACTGCGGCTTTCCTGCCAGCCCTTTTCACGTAGCCATGTGTCTGAGTGGTTATGGGGACTCACTAGGGTAATGTCTATAAGGTCTAGTTGCTGAAGAACCTACAATACTTGCCTCAGAATAGCAGTGTGTGTGTGCATGCAACTGGTACCCTAAGGTTTGGTGCACTCAGACACTGAGCAGTCCCAATAATTGTGCTAGCCCATCCTAGGTCATGTAACTGGGAATTATTCTAAATATTACCAATTATCCCAGTGTATCCACAGCTGTTTCTCAGTTTAATACATGACATAATTTGTTAAAATCTAGTTCTGTGTTGTGAGGCAAGTTTGCAGTCTTCTCAATCAAGATCATGTTGTAACAAGCCCATCCTTCTGCTCTAGTTGAAACCTTTGCAGGAACATACCGTCTTAATCAGGACAGTAACAGCTACACCTCCCAGACACGTAAGTACTCTATGCAATAATTATTATTCACAGGGTGTGAATACAGTCAAATGGGGCACAAGGCTTGATGCAGTAACTGTTCCCCTTTGTCAGGGAGTAAGGGGAAAGTGCTGCATTCCTCACTGTGGCTGGGGAGCACAGGGGCAGATGAATCTGGACCTGCCCCAGCTGGAGGACATGCACCCCTCTCCCAGCTGTGCCAACTGGAGCTGCAGCAGTCATGGAGAGGCACTTCTCACCTGGCCCCCAAGCTGCTTCTGTGAGAGGAGTCTGGGGGTAGTCTTCACTCCCCGGGGCAGCCTCATCACCACCCCCACCCCAGAGCAATGGTTTAAATGGAGCATATACATTTCCGTTTTATTTTCCAAAAAGCACAAATAATTGAATTAAGGACCCAAGCAATGCTAGGCAAATCGTCTAGTTTCTAAATAAAAGAGCCTGTTTATGTTTGTTTATAATTTCAGAACTGTGATTAGTTACTTAAACATAAACCATCCACATGTTTCGTTAGTCTTTAAAGTGCTACCATTCTATTTGTTGTTTTTTAAGTTTATCCTGTACAGACTGGGCTATCCCTCTGAAGCTTTTAAACATAAATGTAACTTTAACCATTTATATGGCCATTCATGTGCTTATAAGTAAGCATGTGCTTAAAAACATAGAGGTAAATCATTTGTTACAATGTAAATTCCTTTTCTTCTGCTATCAATTTTCAAGCAAAAGCAAATACACTACTAACAGCAAAATCAACAAGCTTTTCTCTTTATGGTTATTACTCCCAAACCAATCTGATAGTTTTCTTTGATAGGATAACGAGTCTTGTGGATAAGGGAGAAGCAGTAGACGTGGTATACCTAGACTTTACTAAGGCATTCGATATGATCTTGCATGATCTTCTTATCAGTAAATTAGGCAACTACACCTTAGGGCTACTATAAGGTGGCTGGCTGGATAATCATTCTCAGAGAGTAGTTATTAACGGTTGACAATCATGCTGGAAGGGAACAACAAGTGGGGTTCTGCAGGAGTCTGTTTTGGGACTGGTTCTGTTCAATATCTTCATCAGTTATTTAGATATCTTCATCAGTTATCATACAGAGTACGCTTATTAAGTTTGTAGATGATACCAAGCTGGGAGGAGTTGCCACTGCTTTGGAGGATAGGGCCATAATTCAAAATGGTCTGGACAATCTGGAGAAATGGTCTGGAGAAATGAAGTTTAATAAGGACAAATGCAAAGTACTCTACTTAGGAAGGAACAAGCCTTTTCACACATACAGAATAGGAAGCGATTGTCTATGAAGAAGTACTGCAGAAAGGGATATAGGGGTCATAGTGGACCACAAGCTAAATATGAGCCAACAGTGTGACGCTGGGCTGCATTAACAGGAGTGTTGTGAGCAAGACATGAGAAGTCATTCTTCTGCTCTACTCTACACTGATTAGGCCTCAGTTGGAAGTATCATGTCCAGTTCTGGGCACCACATTCCAAGAA